AAAATGACCATCATTCTTTTTATGAGTATGTTCTAATTGATTATTGTTTATCAAAGATGATGATTCTGTTGTTGGTGGAACAATAATTGATGAAATAAGTTCTACTTTATCATCATCTTCACTTATCATAGGTGTGTAATAAACACTTGAACGTGATGATATAGATTGTGGTCGATGTGAAGAATTTGATGATTTAAGAATACCATGATTTATACATGGAAGACTTGCATTTGAAGGTGCACGTTTTTTAATTCGATTAGGATTTTGAATAAATGAACAAGTACGACGTGATTCAGTATTATCTAATTTTTCATTAGTTGGTACTTTTAAATAATTCATTGGTATATTTGATGTTGGGAACATATATTTTTAAAATGAATTATCTTTTGATAGATTATTAATAGACTTACTCAATGTCTACTTTCGTTTTTTTTTTTTTACAATAAAAATGATATGATGATCTTTTTCTTTTTCTTTTTTTTTTTTTTTTGATTATTTCTCTCTAATATTTACTATATGATTGAGTATAGCAAGTGTTACTTTAATCGTTATATTTAGTAACAAAAAACAAAAAGAAAATATACACGCTTCATATGATTTTATGATGACATGCAATAGTAGATAAGAAAAAGAAAATAAATCGATTCATATAGTAGTCTATCATGATTGGCTTTTATCCTGTAGAAATTTATTTAAATTATATACAATGGTAGATGTTCAAATAAAATTATTGATTTCTCACAACTATAATTCATTGAAACTATTTAATAGATATTTGAGGTGTAACATTTGTGAATAATAAGTTTGGCATTAGTTGAATGTGTGGAATATATAAAGAAGAATTGTTTCTACTTTTAGTATTGATATGACTTTATGTACCGAATAGTTCACGAAAAGATATAAACTATATAGGAATATAAAAATCAATGATTCTCATCAATAGAAACAAAACAGAAGACAAACGAGTTCCGGTTGTAAAACTTGAATGAAGAATGAAATGTACGAATTGAAAAATAGGACGAATCTTTATTGATATTGAAAATTATAGAAAATTATGCATTGGTAATTGTTTACATTGAATACTATCTATGAGTAATAAATATATTGTATTATCAAAAGTTTATGTTTTAAGAAAAATCTTCGGTCTTTAAATGTGTTTTTTTTCGATATTTTGCTATTCATCTCTCTAAGATTTATTTTTCCTCTAATTTTATATTTATATTTGATTTCCAATTGAATTCTTTTTGCATTCATTTTTATGATGTGATATATATCATAATCAACCCAATTCATCGATGTGTTGAAATTTTTTATTAAAATTAAATCATTTATTCAATTTGTTTTAAAAAAAAATATTTAGCTCTCTCTCGTTCTATATCGCAGGTACTTTATACGAAATATTTCAGAATCATTGCATATATTTTTTTTGTTTAGCATATTTTTTATCACGCAGACCGATCAAAACGAACGTCGTTTTTCTGTTTTGCATCAGTAAATGCAGAGATGTGGCGTTCTCGGGGTACGCACGTCTCCTTACTTGTAAAAGGTTATATTTGCATCTGTTCAGCTCTGAATAAAATACTCGTATCCAGCTCCACGTTTTTCTCCTCGCCACATCTCTTAGTAAACAGTAATCCAACGAAAAATTTACAGCAGTAAATATACCGTATTTTTTGACTTAGACAGAAATATTGGCTGTTTTGAAATATATTTCCAAGGGTTGGCAAAAAGAAAGGAAATCAAAATAATGAAGATATACTAATTAGGTAAATTCAACACAAAAAATATAAATAACTTGGTCGATATTAATGATGGATACTACCAATTAATTAAAACTAATCTTGTCCAAGATAGACTAAAACAAAAAGAATTTCACTTTTTTATCAGCTATGAACATTATTTTATTCCTTAGCAATCTTATAATCATTCGAATCGTAATTGTCGCTAGTATACAATATTCTTATTGGAATATTTTATCCAATAATATGTAAAAATAAAAGTAAAAAAAAAATAATACTACTACTCGATATATACATCTTTGTACTAGACTAGTTTATTTATCTCAATGATGTTTTCCAATGATGGTTTTTTAATTGATCAATCTTCAAATAAAAATCCTAGTCAAACACATTTATTTACATCATTTCCAAATTCTGCAGTTGATCTTGATGATGATGATGAGAATGATCGTTCTGTAGAAAATAAAATAAATAATAATCCATCTTATGGATATAATCCATCGAATGAACAACATTTATCTCTTCCATTATCAATAACAACAAATAATATAAAAAATGAACAATTACATATATGGCAAATTGAATATTATCAAAAATATTTTCAAATTGATACACAACAATTACTTGAACGTTTACTTGCTTCAATGACACCACAACCAAATAAATCTTATTTTAATTCAACAATTAAACATAATCCTGATTTATATGGACCATTTTGGGTATGTATTACATTTATTGTAACTGTAGCTATTAGTGGAAATATTGTTACATATTTTCATTTACCTGATGCTGATTTTCAAATTGATTTTTCAAAAATTACTTTATCAGCTATTGTAAGTAAAAGAAATATACATATTTTTTCTTAAAATTAAAAAAACTCGATTTATCTATTTCTAGTTTATCTATCTTTATTGGTGGTTAATGCCAACATTTATTTATTTTTTCTTTCGTTATTATATTAAATGTAATGAATATACATTTCTTGAATTACTTTGTCTTTATGGTTATAGTTTAACAATATTTATTCCAGTTTCAATTTTATGGATAATACCAATAATATGGTTACAATGGTTATTAACAATAATAGCATCATTAATAAGTGGAAGTGTTTTAATTGTTACATTTTGGCCAACAGTTAATTATGGACGAAAACATTTTAGTGCATTATCAATGTTAGTTATTCTTTTTATTCATCTATTAATGGCTATTTGTATTATGTTTGTATTTTTTCATATATCAGATAAAAATATTAATATGAAAAATGAAACAATTATTTTAACAACTATAATATCATCAACAAAGAGTAATGTTTAATCTCATTATTTTACATTTCTATAATAATAGATATGATTTATTCTTTATCAATGTTGTTATTGTTTTAGAAGTAGAATAAAGAACATAAAAAAATAAAGAATGTATTTTTGTTGTCTTCTTTTTTTTTAAATGTCATCTTCAATTATAAAGAAATAATTTTTTTGAAAAAGTTTATTAATGTAAATTTTTGAATTCGAATGATCTGAAACTGATTTATGTATTATTAATCGTTGCGTTCTTAATCATTATAAAATCGAATTGATTTCTTGTTGTAGATTTGTATTATCAAATGAATAATAATTCAATTGTTTAAACTATTAACAGTATTATTTTAGGGTTAGGTTAGATTGTGTTATTTTTAGAGTGTTAGTGTAGTTTGCTTGACAAGGAGGTTCTAGAGTTTTTCGATAAATCTCGTGATACTCAGTATGGTAAAAGTTTTGCAACATTCTTTCATTTGCGAATATTCGAAGGAAGAAGTAATACAAGATGCGAACTTTCCTATCAGAAGCAGTGTATCATTCAGATTTTTTCTTCGAGACAAATGAACATCTATTCTAGATAAAACATTGATGAAACGATACAGATTTTGATTTTCTACAGACTCAGATTCGTTTTTGAATTTAAAACAATAATAGAACAAAAATGAAATTATAGATTGTTCTATGTGGCATAGTGAATGATCTTTACTTCTCATAAAAATTATTTTCATTTGTTTTCAAGATTCTTTTGAAGTGCTAAAAAGGCACCTAAAAGGCTAGGTACTTATAATTAGACTTCATGTTAAATGCGCTTTCGAAATTATTTATAAGTGTTTGATAAAAATCTAGATTTGTATAACTTGAATCGTTTGCCTGAGCATCTACAACCGAAGAAAAAAGGCTCCGTTCTTTTTTACAGTCTTTGTAATATTTTCAGTTAAATCACTTTTTATAACGTTATTTCGGTTTCAAGTAAAAAGACAAAGCAATTGTCTAGAAATTTTTGCAAAAATCAACTGATCTGGTCAAAGATACTATTTATGAAACATTTGTTTTGGAAACGAATAATGAAATCAAGAAAAGGTCGCTTTTTTTGAAAATAGAACGTTTTATCGAATCAAAAGAATGTACATTAAAAAAATATCGTATTATATATCATCGATAGAACTTTTCAAATACTATTTAGCAATGTATTTTGTTCTGAACACTCAGTTTTCCTTTACATAAACATAGTACGCTAGCTAAAAATTGTGTGAGAAGTACTTACTACTCATTGAATCATATAATACAGTCTATAATTTCATTTTTTGTTCGATCGTGTTCAGCAAATAGGAATTAATAGCGAATTGAATTCTGTATTGTTTCGTTACTTGAATGTTTTCAAATGAATGAATATTGCAAAGCTTGTACCACACGCAGCATGTTTTGCCATTGAATGGAATGTATTAAGATCAGGACATGAATAGAGTTTAGGACAGAAGATGGTTGAGATTGAGTGTAGACACTTCACAACTATGGTTCTCTTAGAATACAGTGTGAATGTATTATATCCTATTAATAGATAAATCTAATGATGTAAAATCCAGTAGCTGCCCCTACTCGATAGATATATTAATATGATATAATAGAAAAAAGAGCAATACACTCAGATATAAATAAATTTTTATCATTGATTAACAACAAACAATAAGAATAATTTGGTTTGATTGATTTACAAGAAGAATTTGTGTTTTTTAGCTTTTCAGTATTTTTTAAAGTTGCTTCTGAGAGCAAAAATTTTTGTAATAAAAATAACAGCCTTAAAAACTATATCTTGCTGAAAACAGATATGAATAGTAGTGAATACAGGAAAACTTCTTTATCTCAATCAATGCCATAGGTTTCCTTAATTGTATTTAATATCTAAATGTTTTATATAACTTGTTTTTCTATTATTTTTTTTTAGATAAGAACATAGATAGAAAATATGCCACCAAAAAAGAAAGAAGAAGCTAAACCAAAGCCATTGATTGGTCGAGTTGGTACTAACCTTAAAATGGGTATTGTAGGTTTACCAAATGCAGGGTTAATATCAATTAAAATTTTTCTATGACAATAATATTTATTTATTTCTATTATTTCTTTCTTTTTTTTCTAGAAAATCAACTTTTTTTAATATTCTCACTAAATCAAGTGTACCTGCTGAAAATTTTCCTTTTTGTACGATCAATCCAAATGAAAGTAATATAATAATAACAAACTTTTATTATCAAATTATACGATATTATTTTAGGTCGAGTACCTGTACCTGATCCACGCTTTGATTTCTTATGTCATCATTATGAACCATTAAGGTATTTCATATATAAACTTCTTCAATTAGTATATATTTCTGTTTTTCTTAGTAAACAACCGGCATATCTCAATGTAAAGAAGAAAAAAAACCAGCATTAATCTTTTTTATTTTTCTATTTTAAATCTCTATTAAATTTAGGTAGTTGATATTGCTGGTCTTGTTAAAGGTGCAAGTGAAGGTCAAGGTATGAAATAATTTTGAATTATTCTATTAAAATATAATATTTATCATAGGTCTTGGTAATGCATTTCTTTCACATATAAAAGCATGTGATGGTATATTTCATATGACTCGACTTTTTGATGAAGTTGATATAGCTCACGTCGAAGGAAATATTGATCCAATACGTGATATGGAAATAATTCATGATGAATTAAGGTTAATAGATTTAAAGAAGAACAAGAAAAAAAAACTGTTAGCACAATTCTTGTGAGATTAAAATGTCAAACACGATCGAGTTGCTATTACTAATCATAGAAAGATTATTTTGAGACACATTTCTTCATCTTTCTTCGGAAATGATATAAAGAAATAGTTTATTTATTTTAATGAGGTCTTATTGATATACAATCTTCGATCGTATATCAACAACGTCTATCAGGGTCTATGAAGAGGTATGAATCCTACTTTTTATTCAATACTTCTTTTAAAGCATGTTTTACAAAAACTAAGTTTATAATTATATTTTAATTTAGACTAAAAGATCTTGAAATGGCAAAAAAAGTCGCCGAAGATTTAGAAAAAAAAGTCGTACGTGGAAATGATAAAACATTAAAAATTGATCATGTAAGATTGAAAAAGTTTTTTTTTTCCTTAAATTTATATTTCATAAGTTAAATTCTTGATATTTTTGTTTTTCTTTAAATAGGAAACAATAAATAAAGTTTTACATTTGTTAAATGAAGAAAGAGGTAGTCTTCGTTTTCATGATTGGAATGAAAAAGAAATTGAAGTACTTAATAAACATTTATTTAATACATCAAAACCCATGATTTATTTAATAAATATGTCAGAAGAAGATTATATTAAGAAAAAAAATAAATGGTTAGGTAAAGTTAAACAATGGATTGATGAACATGATCCAGGTGCAACTGTAATACCATTTAGTGCTAATTATGAATTACGTCTAGTTGATTTACCACATGATGAAAGTGAAAAAGTTATTAAAGAAACAGGAGCACCAAGGTAAATTGTTTGTTTTTTTTGAGAGAATTCGTTTTATTTTATGAAAAAAAAAAAAACTAATTTAGTACTTTGGAAAAAATCATTCTTGCTGGTTATCGAGCATTACAATTGTGTTATTTTTTTACATGTGGAAAAGATGAAGTTAAAGCATGGACAATACAAATTGGCACAAAAGCTCCACATGCTGCTGGACGTATTCATACAGATTTTGAAAAAGGTTTTATTATGGCTGAAGTTATGAAATATGATGATTTTAAAGAACATGGAAATGAACATGCTGTTAAAGTATGTAGAAAATAAAACAAAAAAAAACAACAAATTTGATTAATCATATAAAATTTATATTTCAATTTAATTTTTAGGCTGAAGGAAAATATCGACAACAAGGGAAAAATTATACTGTTGAAGATGGTGATATAGTTTAT